GCAGGTAATCATTCATATCAGGCAGGCAAGCAGGTAGTTACCTATAAAGGCAGCTCTGTTTTATTTTGTTAATTTTGAAAAGACTTTAAAAAAAGTTTTGAATACTTCTAAATGTAATTTTTCAGAGATATAATTTCTACACAACAGAAGTTGGAAAGTCCTCCTTATAGATAGAAAGCTGAAGAAGTACACAAATATTTTATCTTAAGAATCTGTTTTAGTAGAAACGAGTCCAGCTTTTCTTGAAAATTTAAACCAGATATTCCAAAATCACTATTGTCTAGTTTTAGCCAAGAGTAGCTGACCTCTGCAGACCGCTTTAAGCTTGTGGTGCGAAGTAGACTTGGAAGTGCATAACTGAAAAGTGCAAGGAAGGAAATCTGTCAAAGTAACACTTCTTACTACGCCATCTGCTGGCCCCATGTGTTTTGACTTTGTCATTTAGTATCTTTGCTATGTGTCTGTTCATTTTGGTGTAACTGTACTCACTAAATTTAAGTATGCTTGCTTGCTAGTTTTCAAGTCAGATTGCAGTACAATTACATTTTTTCCTATGTGAAATTCTGTCCTATAATTGAGATGTTTTGGAATGTAACATAACATTTGTTATTAGTTGTTTATTTTTAAGTGTTTAAAAATGGGAGTAGTTTTGATTTAGTTGCAGCATTTAAAGTAGGGAAGTTGAACCACAGTTGTCTTCATGGTGAAAATATTAGAATACGACCCAAGAAGTTATAAATTTATAGTTAAAGACATTTCTTTTATACCTTTATTGGGATATAATTCACATACCATGCAGTTTACTGATTTAAAGTATGCGGTTTAACTTCTTAGTATATACACAGTGTCATACAGTTATCACTACAATATAATTTTAGAGTAATTTTGTTTCCCTGAAAGAATCCTGTACCCATTGGTAGTCACTCCTGCTTTCTCTATGTGGTTGCTAATATACTTCCTGTCTTTAGATTTGCCTATTCTGGACACTTCGTTCAAATCATATAATGTGTAGTTTTTTGTAACAGACTTACTTAACATAATATTTTCAAGGTTCATCCATATTGTATCGTGTATTACACTTTGTTATTCACTTATACGTTGATAGATATTTGGGTTGGTTCCACTTTTTGATTACTGTGAATAATTCTGTGAAAGTTGTGTACATGTATCAGTTTCTACTTTCAATTCCTTGTTATCCAGTATACCTAGGAGTGGAAATACTGGATGAGGTGATAACTCTAGTTTGACTTTTTGTGTAACCACCAACCTGTTTTTCATAGCTGCTGTACCATTTGACATTCCTACAAGCAATGCACAAGTGTTGTAGTTTCTTCACACCCTTGGCAATACTTTCCATTTTCTTGCTAATAGGCATCCTAATAGATATTAAATGGTATCTAACTGTGGTTTTGATTTGCATTTCCCTGAAACTAATGTTGTTGAGCATCTTTTTATGTGCTTATTGACTATTTCTGTTCCTTGGAAAAATCTATTCAGATCTTTTGCTCATTTTAAAGTTTATTTATTTATTTTTATTAATGATGGAGAAAAG